CCAGGCTGAAGCCAGCCTCACTCTCCGAGAAGCCCCACAAGCCTGCAGAGCATCTCTGGGAGCTGGGCCCATGACAGGCTGGACTGGGGACGAAACACATGAGGTGCCCCCCTGCCCAGGTGTGCCCAAATGAGTGGCAGACTTGAGGCCAGGTGCCAGGAGGAGAAACAAGTAAGAAGGACCCCAGACACAGCACAGCTCACAGAAGCACCTGCTCCTCAGACTGCCAGAGACCTCACAGGTCATAGCGCCCAAACCGGAATCCCTTCTTGAACTCTCTTGGCCCGCGTTTGTTCAGCCTCTGTGCCCACCTCTGGTGAAGGGGAGCTCACTGCACCTCAAGGTAATACCTCCCGGTTTGTTGTTGCTCAGAAACTGTCCCTTACTCCCCGATTTCCTCAGACAGCCCCAGCTCTGCCCTCACACAAGGACCAACTTGCTTCAGCCACAAAACAGTGCATCTGAGATTTAGGCAAAGAGGCCACATCCCCAAGTCCAGTTTTAGAGGCAACCTGGAAAGAAACCTAGGATATTTCTAGTCTGAATGGGTCCTCGTCAATCTGCTGAGCTAACAGTGTTCTAGCTTGTTTGTGCTACAAGAATCTCCAGTGGAACTTTCTGGAACTGGAAGCCCCTCATGCACCCTCCCTACTGAACTGTAAACCTCTCACAGTGTGTGAGGGATCCAGTCCACCAAGAGCATTTATTGATCACCTACTATGAATTCGGTATTGTCTAATTCAGTAGCCAGTAGGCAGTTGTGACTCTGAGCATTTGAAATGTAGCTTAGTGCAACTGAGGAACTAAAACTTTCATTTCATTCCATTGTCACTAATTTAAATTTAAAAACAGAAGCCATGGAAAAATATTTTTCCACTAACCACAACTTCATTGTTTTGATAGGACTGACTACACCTAACTTCAACTGTCAAATGTTTAGCATTCAGATACGTTCATATACATTATAAGTGGAATATATGCATATTTCAAAGACTTAATATCAGAAAAGGGAAAATCATATTACATTTTTTATATTGATTACATGCTGAATCATAATATTTTGGGAGTATATTAGACTAAATAAAATGTATTCTTAAAATTAATTCCACTTTGTTTTTTCTTGCTTCTTTTAATATGGTTCCTAAAAAATTGTACATTGCATGAGGCTTGCATCTTGGTTCCATTGGATAGTTCTGAGCTAATCACTTCACACCCACCCTGACATCCAAATTACTCAGCATGTCATGTGTTTCGTTTCTTTTTCTTTTTCTCAGTACTCAGAATCTAACCTAGGACTGTATCACTGAGCCTTGGCCTTCTGTAGCTTCAGACATGGCCTCACTAAGTTGCCCAGGCTGGCCTCAAACTTTCTATCCTCCTGCCTCAATTTCCCAAGTACCTGAGATTACAGGCCTATGACACCATGCCTGGCCACAGCACATGTCTCTCGAGTCTCTAACGTCATCAAAGCCATCTCCCCACTACTTTCAGACTAAAAGTCAGGGCTGGGGTCAATGCGGAACTACCTCTATTCCTCCCTGAGCCCTTCAAGCTGGCCCTTCCCACATGCCCTCTCTCTTGCCTTTGATTGGAATCTTACCACTTCCTCTACTCTGTGTCCAAAGCCACCTCCTATGAGGTGCTGTCTCAGTTCTTTGGATCGAAGTGGCCCACCATCACCTGTCTTCTTCCACTGGTGTCACCTCACTGTCCATCAAAGGGCCTATGGATTTGCAGTCTTGACTGCCAACCCATCATCTGCGGTTGGACCCTGTCCCAGCCGCCCCTGTGCTAAGGTCTGCATGGGAGAACGGTCCCACAGAATTCCTACAGGGCAAAATCCAAGACCAAGCCAGAGATAACTGCTCACCAGGGAGCTGAGCAGGCGAGTCTGCCTTGTAAAGCCTCAGCCATTTCATCCGTCACTTCATGTGAGAAATGGGGGAGACCCTCAGCTGCCTTCCCCTTTTCCTCTGTTACCCATGACTCATCCCTCAGGCTGCTGAGGGCTCCTGAGAAAAACCGTACCATCCTGCAAGCCAGCGCCCTCACAGATCTACGGTCTGCAGGTTCGCTGGACCAGTTGCTGGTGTCGCCAGGTGTTTCAGAGTTCTCCCTGGTGGCTGATTCTTATTTCCTATGCTCACCTCAAACCCGACCTCCAGACCTCAGCTCACTGCCCCCTGCATCCTCCTGCCCAGTCACTGATCACTTGTGCTGAAACTCTTCCCCATCCCACAGGGCTCCACCTCCAAAGAGCCTGGAGGGTGTGAGGGGAAATAGATAGCCAGACATGCAAGGGACAGAGGCTTCTAGGGCCTTCTCTCTCCCTGATTCCTGGTTCAGGGGGAGCTACTGGTTCTTTGCGTAGCTTTGCCAGTGTCACAGAACTCCACAAAGTCTCAATTTCCTCCCCTAAAACAAAATGTGAGTGGCAATCCTGGATATCTCATGTCCCTGCAGAGCCAGTGTAGGGACCAAAGAAGATACAAGGATGGATGGAGAGGACAGGAGGAACATGACACAGTTCTCCCCACACCCTTCCCTGATGGGAGCCAGGGCATTTTTGCTTGCCTCTCTGCTCAACCATCTACACTCTCGGTGAGGTGGGCAGGAGTGAGGGGAGGCTCTGGTTGCTGCTTGGTTCCCCTTGCTTCTCCATCCTGTGAGCTCCAAGACCATCGATGCATTCATTCTCCATTAGCCAAAGGGCCTCAGGCTGGACTACCTCCATGTCTTCCTGGGGATTAGAACTCTACCAAAAGTTTCAGAACCAGAAGGACTGCAAAATGTATCCAGTTCCACATCTGATTCTAGATGCTTCTAGATGATTCTAGCTCTTGTACAGCAGCTCAGCCAAGTACCATTTAGTGTGCTTACATACTCCTAGAGATGCGGCACTCCCAGTGTGTCCCGTTATCCCTAGACCACTTTCCCGTGTACACATTCTTTCTTACACTGAGCTGCATCTGCCACACACCGGTCCATGAGGTCTTGGTCCTCCCTCCTCCATGGCTACCTGTACAAGGCAGCAATCTAGTCTATTTGTTATGTTCCTGTTTATGCAAAAATATGCCTGGAGCCTCGAGATATTCACTAGGTGCTGTACCTAGATCCCTTTCCATTCAGGTTATGCTAACCTGAACACAACCCAATGTGTCACTGTCCCTTTAAAGGTCAGTACCCTAAATGGTCACAGTCTCCCAGGAAAGAGGACCAGCGGAAAGTAGTGGAGACTAACATCAACCATGCTGTGCCTACATAATAAAAGCAGTTTGAAAGCCGACCACAGTGGTGCATCCCACAATCCCAGCACTCAGGAGCTAAGGCCTTGCATTTGAGGCTCACCTGGGAGTACACAGGAAGGCTCTGTCTCTAAATAATAAACACAGCTTGAGAGGCCAAATAGTGAGTGCTGGTCAGAGATTAAGCCAGTACTGCACTCCACAAACTCCATAAGCATTACCCCAAATCAGGGCCGGTCTGCGGCCAAAATACATTGCTCCCCCTTCCCCTCGAATTGGGGATTGAAGCCAGGGGCTCTATCACTGAGCTATGTCACAGCCATTTTCATTTTTATTTTGACACAGGGTTTTGCTAAGCTACCCTGGCTGGGTTGGAACTTGTTAATCCTCCTGCCTCAGCCTCCCAAATGGTTGGAATTAAAGGAATGCATCATCACACTGAGCAAAACTAGATTTGTTTTCTTTCTCCCTCAATTCTGAGTGAACCTCATACCAACCATGCCTCTGCTGTGATCAAACACAGCCAGGCACATCTGCTGCGAGGCCAGGTGATAAAAGGAAAGAGGATGCTATCATCAGACCCATAAACCAGCAGAGGTGGCAGGCCACTGCTCCACAGCAGCCCGCCCGGCAGACCACTGAGTTAAAGACTTCTGACACTGCTCAGGATTGTCAGGAGCGGGAGAGAGAGGCAAGGGAGGCTTCACCAGCCGTGAATCATCGCTGCACCCCCCGCAGCTGAAGCAGAGGCCACAGCCCAGCTCCCGTGCTGCCTGGAACACGCAGACCACAGACCAATCCACTGCGGGGCCAACTCAATTTTCTAGTTACAGATCTTAAGTACTTAGGCATGTGCTCCCGAGAACACACATCCCCTACACAGGGCTGAGAAAGGGAATTGTGCCGAGGAACAGAATAATTGAATCAAGATTTCTGTCACGCTGCTCTCAGGCCCCAGACCACAGCCCTTTTTTTCTTTTTCCTTTTCTGACTAAGGTTTTACAGACTCCCAGGAGGTCGCTTCTCCTCTCAAACCGATTAATGTCAGCAACACTGGCAGCCAGTTCAGAGGAAGGAGACCTGCGTTAAGGTGGGCTGTGTGTGGCGAGAGCTAGCCGGCTCCAGAGGCCCAGGCAGCATCCAGCCTGCCAAAGTTCGAGGAAACCAGCTTGGAAGATGGTCGTCTTTAATCCCTGAGAGGTCCCTCTACTTCTTCCTTCGAGGCCCAAAGGCAAAATTGAGATGGTTATTGGTTTCCTCCACCCTCTTCCATTACCAGGACTGAAGGCCTTCTGAGAAGGCCCCGCCCTCAGAGGAGAAGCCCTCTACCTCCAAAGGTGCCCCCTCACTGCAGGACAGGGTGGTGGGGGCTTTGCCCAGCCCCCTTCTCTCCTCCCCAGACCCCACACAGGGGACTGTGCTCAGACCATCCACACACTGGGATGTCAGGGTCCTCTCTGTACACACAAGGTCTTCTTAAAGGCCACAACGCTCAGGCCACAGGCTCTGCTACGCCTTCCTCCACCAAGGGATGAAGAAGGGAGACTGGCAAGCAGCCCACACTCCCGGTGAGACCTCTGACTGCCCCACCTGGTCCTCTTGGAAAGGACAAGGCTGGGGGAGGAGGGGTGACAACCCTGGTTCTCTGCAGATACGAGGGTGCTAAGGGTGCTTTGCTTCTGCTTTCACTGTGCACCCCAAATGGATTCTGTCCCATCGGATGCACCCTTGATTGGCCGCACGGCCGTCTCTTACCTTCATCTCTCTTGCGCTTGTTGGTATCGGCACTGGGGGACGTGATACCCAGGATGCCACTGATGGAATATGAAGAGCCAGCTGAGTCCGTGCTCACTGACGACACCTGTGTCACGGAGCCCGTGGACACTGCACGAAGACAGAGGGGCGGTCAGGGCCAGCAAGAGGCAGAAAGGTGGAGGGCATGGGGCAATCTGTCACAAAGGTGTGTGGCATTGTGGCGTTGTGGCCAGCCTGAAGACCCTTGACTCGTGACAATCACCACACAAGCCTCGGCCATTTGCCCAGATTCTGTGTGGAGGAGAAAGGACAGGGATATGGGCAGCAAGGAAGACTGACCACACAGCAAGGAGCTCAGGGACAGGACAGAAAGGGCATGTGGTCAAATCCAGCCAGCCCAGGAAGCGGGAATTGGGGACCAGAGAGAGAAAGAGGTGCTACAAAGCTCCTGAGATTCGTTCAGCCCTGGTTACGAGCTCATTCATGCACAAAAAAACCTTTACACTCTTCCCAGGCAGCCAAATGCAGGCTGCCTATTTTTTTATCGTCCCTTATTGTCTCTTCTCTTTCCAGCTTACTTGGATTTCATTTTTTATATTAATTATAATAAGATGCCTAATATTTTCTAAGAACATTCTGTGCTAGGCATTGAGGCATTATCTCGTTTAATTCTGAGAAGAACCTTACAAACTACATGATGTTATTATCCCATTGGAAAGGTAAGGGAACAAGGATCAGAGAAGACAAATGACTTGCCCAAGGTCACACAGCTAGTAAGAGACCTGTAATCCCAGCTGCTTGGGAGAGTGAGGCAGGAGAATCCCAAATTGGAAGTAAGTCTGGGCAACTTTGGTGAGAATTTGCCTCAAAAATTAAAAGAGAGAGAGGCGATAGAAACCTTGTGATAAAGTCTTAACTCCTAAAACTACTCTGCCCCCTCCAAGAATTCATAAGGAAAAATAATAATTCTTATTGTTACCATAATATTTTTCATGTGATGATTGAACAGTTCAGAGGGCTATTATTTTTCCCCATTTATCAAATGAGGAAACTGAGGCTCTACAAAGTGAAGTGATTCAAAGTCATTCAGTTGATAAACCACAGTGCCTGAATTTAGTAGCCTCAGGTCATTGCTTACTCAAGGCCTCTTAAGTCTCTAAGGACCAGAAAGGGGAGGGGAATTTTAGACAAGTTCCACATTGACTCACATCCAAAGTCTGAGGGAAACCAGTCTCCAAAGGGTCCTTTCCAGCTGGAAAGCTGGATTCAATTTCAGGGCTATAGGAATTCTTCTTGGTTCATCAAAACCTACCCACCAATCTCAGAAATATCTCCCTGGACTGTAACTGGTTGAAGGAGATGGGCTGCCCTGGATTCTGAGTCTAGGGAATTACTAGTAATGGTGGTGACCACATGGGAAGCTATTTGCTACTTTCCTTGGACTGGGTCCAGTGTCTCCCTTCTACAGACCTGGACAGTACAGTGCCCTTTCTTCCTGAAACTGAGTCTGATCTTAGTTAGGTCTTCCTTAAGAGATACAGACAGAAATCTTTAACTTCTCTTTTCCTTCACAGAAAAGGCTTCTCAAAAATAGATTTATGCAAATCTCACCACCTTTTCTGGGTTCACATGAAAAGAACAGAGGAAGAGGATCACTTGGTACCTCAGACAGCAACAGCCACTTGCAAGTGTGGCCCACCACACCACCGGTGGAGCTAAGGACATCTGGTTAACTATTTTGTGACTGCCCTGGACTCAAAAGGTGGCTCCCACTTCTGGCTCCACCCCTACCTGGAAACAGGGTCTTAAACTCCTTATTTCCTCTCCCTAAGCCTCACTTCCCTCGCTGCTCAGCAAGTTCATCAGCTATAAGGGGCTGCCCACACGGCTCTATAGTTTTAGTAAAAATCTGAGAATTAGGCATGATGGTACACACACACAGCCCCAGCACTCTGGAGGGCTGAGGAAGTTCGAATTCAGCCCCGGTAACTTAGCGACTTATTGAAATCCTGTCTAAATAAACAAAAAAATAAAAAAATAAAAAGTACTGAGAAGATAGCTCAGTGCAAAGACCCTGGGTTAAATCCCCAGTATTGGGAAAAAAAATCTGTGGCAAAACAAATTGTTTTGCTGACCTACAATACAGTGAGTCCCTTAAATCTATTCCAAGAACAGGTTTTCGTGTGATGCTGGTCTGATTTTTATTGCTGTGGAGCCTTAAAGCCACAAATGAAATCTCGGCCACAAACACCAAGCCTCCCGGAAGTCTTCCTCAGCCCTTTAGCCCCAGCTCTACTTAGCTGGTGGCTCCCTCTCTGCTCCTCAGCACTGACACTTTTTTCTTGGACTTTTCCAAGCTTCTCCTCAGTACATCCCCCAATGGCTCAGAAGCTGGTGACCACAGGGATTTCGTCCAGCCTCATCTGTAGCACTGGTCTCCAGTGCTGCCACTTGTCTGCACAATGCAGGTTAGCAAACACTTTCCAAAAGCATTGCTTAGTGAAAAATCATCTCATGGCAGCAAAGAATTCCCTTTTACCTTTACTAAAAGAAACATGCTTGGAGGATCAGAGATCTCAGAGTACTTGCTTTGTGCTCTCTGTCCATCAATGAGAAAACTGAGGCTCTCTGACTGATGTAAAGGGGTTTCATAACCCACTAGTGAGTTAAGGATGGCATTGGAGCTATAAACAGCCCTCTGCCAGCTTCCCCACCACCACAGGAAATTCATGCTTTTAGTTAAAGAAAGGGTGGTGCTGATGAAGGTATACACAATCTGAAGTGTGATTATGTAGATTCACCAGAACTATAAGAGGCTTGCTAAACAGGCTACCTATTTGCTTGCAATAGAGTAACTTTCCTCCCAGCTAGCCAGAGGGGTTCCCTTTGTCCCAAGTAGAAAAACAATATCCCTTAAATAGAAACCTGAAATTTCCAACTCATCCTTGAAGAGAAAGCAATGGAAACGTCCATACTCTTGAGTAGTGGGAGAGGGGTGCAGTGTTCATTCTTGGGCAGACTTACATTTAATAGCAAATCATGGTCACTCAGACTTCACCCATGAGCATCAGAAACCCCACTGGCAGCCCTTGACAGTTCACAGAGTACATGAGATCGAAGCGAGAGAAAAAGAAAAAGAAAGTTTGGGAAGTTTTGCCTCATCTTCACTCAAGACTGCAAGTGCACAAAGAATTGCAGAAGGTCTGGTTGATAGAAGAAAAAAATACATTCAAAACTACTTACTGACTAATGATGCAGAAAATGTTATGAATAAGTATCCCTTTCTTGATTTATTACTTTAATTATCTGACATTCTATAGACCCCCATTAGTGGATTTTTTTTGGCTTAGATTTCAATTTTCTGTCTCATGGTGAAAGCTATTTATCATAATAATCAGTAAAATTCAAAACCTTTTAGCAGTATTTATAAAATTCATTTACCGGGTTCAGCCCTTGGAGAATGACAAAGAAGACGCATGAGGACGTGTGCCGAAGTGTTTTATGCAGAATTATCTGTCCATATGAGTGATTAAAAGTTCTTTAGAATATTTGGAGCCCATTAGAGTTTCGAAATTTTTTTTAAAAGTTCGTCTTACCTATGTTGTGGCTGGAAGCTGGGACCGGCTGGTTGGGGGGCTGCTGCACTTTTGTCCTGATGATCCTGTGGATGATTGGGAAAAACAAAAAAACAAAACAGCTCTTTATCATCAGGAAGGAGAAGAGACTATAGCCAATTACACTCAGACAACCAGAAACGCCACACCACACTGGGGCACAGGGACTGAGCTGGGGGACATTAGGAAGCCTGGCCTGTTTGCTCCAGTTCTTCCACGAATTGGATGGTGACCTCATGGTTCGTTCCACCATGAATTTCAACACAATAAGAGAAGAGTTAGAACAGACCCTTCTTTGCTTATTTTAAGTAATTAAATTCTTTTCAGAGGAAAAAAATTAAAATCCTATTGAAAAGAAAAAAGATCTTAAAAGCTGGGTGTGGTGGCACACTCCTGTAATCCCAGCATTTGAGAGGCTGAGGCAGGAGAATAGCTTGCAAGTTCAAGACCAATCCTGGACTACAGGCTTGGCTAAGTGAGGCTAAGGCCAGCCTGAACTGCATGGTGAGATCCTGTCTCAAAAAGAACAAAAAAAAATAAAATCTTACAGAAAAGCCCATATACACAGACAATATATGATAACAGAATCCCTTCCCTTTGCCACCCGGTAGCTAGGACATTCTACAGAAACTTGGGCTCTGGGGAGTCAGTTATAAGCTCCCATCTGGGACAGTGCCTGGGACCCCCAGAAGACCACAGGACCAGTGCCTCTTTGTGCACAGAACAGAACCACGTACCACAAGTCTCTTCGGGGTTTACAAGGAAGTTCCTTCCCTGGAATTGGGAAGGAAGGTACAACGTAATACAATATTCAGCTTCATTGGAAAAGGTCTATTCCAGTCTCAAACTATTATCTTTTAAAAGGACATTTAGTAGAGTTTTGCTTCACCCTTGTGCATATTTAAAAACATCCATTTTCTCTTAACAAAATCACAGTTAAATCACATTCAGTTCTGCATCCTGCTCTTTTCGTGCGAACCATCCCTCCCACTGGTACTGGGGACTGAACCTCTGCTCCTCTTACTGAGCAAAGCCCCAGCCTTTCTCATTTGGAGACAGTCTCCGTGAATTGCTAAACTGTCCAATCAGGGGCCGAACCTGTGCTTCCTCTGCCTCAGCTTTCCAGAGTGCTGGATTACAGGTATGTGCTACCACATCCAGCTTCACACACCTTTGATGAGTGACCATTACACAGCATCCGGAAGTTCTCTTCAAAGTTGCACTGCGTCTCAAGTTTGTGTGAACGAAGAAGAAAGATAGAAGCAACAGATGCCAGCTGGGTATGGTATTGCCCGCCCGTAATGCCAGCACTCTGTGAGGCTGAGGCAAGGTGATGGCAAGTCTGAGTCAGCATGGGAAAGTCACATTTTTTCTTCTTTTGGTTTTTCAAAACAGGGTCTCACTTTGTAGTTCAGGCTGGGCTTGAACTCATTTTGTAACCAGTGTTGGCCTATTAACACACTATGCAGCCCAGACTGGCCTCAAACTCATAGTGATCATCCTGCCTCAGCCTCCTGCAGCCTCAGAAGTTTAGCAATTTAGTAAGATCTTGTCTCAAAATTTGAAAAAGGGCCTTGGGGTTTAGCTCAGCAATTTAAGTGCCTGCCTGGCAAGTACAAGGTCATGAATTCCATCACTGGTACCAAAAAAAATTTAAAAAACAGTGGCTGTGGAGATAGCTCAGTGGGGAGACCCTGAGTTCAATCTCCAGTACCAAAAATAAGTAAGTAAATAAGTTGCTGATGCCTCCCCTTAGGCTCACTAGGCAGCAGGCTCCGCCCTCCTGGACTGGCCACCCAGACCAATGAGTGTCTGTAGTTAATGGTCTAGGATGGATTTTTCTGCCCTCTCTATAGCCCAAACCCAGGCCCTCTGTACCCCTGGCCCCTGGAGAGCAGCAAGAATGTTTTGCCCTTTTCCGATGAGTCAGCTCAAGTGTAGCCTTAAACGCATTCGGAGTGTGTGTTTGTTTTCTCCAATATTAAACCATTTATTTTAACTAAGCAAACACAGCATGGACCAAACAAGGACGTGGCCGCCAGGAAGTCTTTTTACCACCTCGACTGAGTTGGTGTACGACCAAGCTTACTATGTGTGTCACCTTCTTTGCACATGTAGACATACAGCCAGACACCTGAACATACGGATGTGTCAAACACAAACACAGTTTATCTACATTTCAAACATGTAGGGAAATATATTGTGATTATTTTCCACTGAAGTCCAACGTAAAATCTGAAACTTCTGCTAAATTTGTACATAAGCAAAAGAAAGAAAATTACATTTTTTCATTTTTCTTTTAAAACACTTATAAACCACCAGGAAACATTATCAGTTGTAACAAAGTCACTGATAAACAGTTACATCATGTGATTAGGCGCACAGACTCCAAAACTAAACTACTAGAATTTGAATCCCAGCCTTGCAATTTACCACCTACATAACCTTGGGTAAATTACTTCTCTATACCTTAGTTTCTTCATCTGAAAAATGGGATTAAGAATCATTCTACCAAAAAAAAAAAAAATCATTCTACCCCCATAGGGGTTTTATTTATTTATTATTTATTATTTTATTTATTTTATTTTATTGGTGATACCAGGGATCAAACTCATGACTTCACGCTTGTCAGGCAGGTGCTTATGCTACTGAGCTAAATCTCTGGCCCCCTCATAGGGTTTTTATCAGGATTGAAATAAGTAACTACGTAGGCCATGTTGATGGCATGTGCCTGTAATACCAGCACAGGGAGCTGAAAAAGAGTTACAATGGGTTCAAGGCAAGCCTGGGCTGCATAGTGAATTCAAGGCCTGCTTAAGCTTTATAGCAAGACCCTGTCTCAACCCTTACCCCACAAAAAAGAAAAAGAAGTAATTAAGTACCTTGAAGTAGCTACTATGTATAAATGCTTAATAATTTTTAAATATCATTATTCTCATTGGTATCTGCATAAAGACTTATGGCCAACTTCAACCTTAAAATTTTGCTATTTTTCACATTTTCTTTTAAAAAGCATAAGGGTCTCTTCTTTGGGAGACGGGGAGGAGAAAGTGACCATCCTCATCCCTTATTTTAAGGTTGCAATGATGCTTTATGAGGGGTCCTAGAATTGTAAGGGACCCCAAAGCTGCCCAGAAGGGTGAGAGACTTTACCCATCTTAGTGGCAGCAGCCACCAAGGAAAAACAAAAAGCATCATCTTACACTGAGAAGAAACAGTAGCGGGAAAAACAAGGCTAATGAATGATAGTAATTTTTAGGAAAAAATTAAAGTAACAAGCTATCAGCAAGATCTGTCCCAATCTGCTCCAGTAAAACTGTACTATGGGCTTTTCTAACCCAGAGATATTTGGAACTGATGGGCAGTCAGCATGAAAAGGTATTTCCTGGGGCTGGGAATGTAGCTTAGTAGTACACTGCCTGCCTAACGTGCACAAAGCCTTGGTATGATCATTAGATCAATATTAAAAAAAATGAGAGAAAGAAAGAAAAAAAACAGGCTCATTCTTACATCACAAATCAAAAACATGATTTTGGATGCTCTATGAGCATTCTCTGGCACAACACAGAAGAAAGCCCAGCCATCAACCTTTCTAGAAAGCCCTGGGGTCATACAGCGAGCCACCTCAGACTCCCAGCTCCCAGGCCTAAGCACTCTGAACAACACTTAAAAGAGAGGGTCCCTCTGCTAAACACTTCCTATCTGAAGCATAAAGCAGATTTCGATTCAAAATTCATTTAGTATCTGAGGGCCAAAACTCCAATGGGCTCACATATAATGGACATTTATGGATCCCACTTCTACACGCTCCCGTCCTCTGAAAAGCTAGAGGTCTTCTCATCACCATTGCCCACTCCCACACCTCCTCCACACACACACAAATTGTACTGGAAGAGAAATTACGCTTGAAAAGTGCTGAAGAAACACACACTCCTGTGGCCCTGGTGAAACTGCCTCCAGTGGGGAAAGAAGCGTGGACCATCACCTGCACTGAGAACCCAAAACCCTGGAGCCCAGCTGGGCCGTGCTGGAAGGGAGCCCAGCTGGCGTCCAGGCTGTGACTGATGTGGAGAAGAGGGAAGAAGCAGGCAAGCAGTCTCAGAAGACTTGCTGCCAAAGTTAGGATTAAAAGAATTAACAAACTGTTGCCCCCAGGCCACCTTCAGCCCTCTATGGTCTATGTTACTTGAATTAATTGCTAACGTGTATGAGTTGTGAGCTTTTCCTCAAATACCTGATTTCCAGCTTCTCTTGAAAAATCAGAACACCCAACAGTGCTGGCCCCACATTTCCACTGCTCCTCTGAAGTAGGGATGGCATTTGTTGTCTGGTCCACTATTTGGCCCCATTTTAGAACCATGGAATTGAAACAGTAGAGAAAAGACACCATTCCACCCATCCTTTGGGTCAGTTCTGGGACAGCCACCTCCAACTGACACTCAGGCTGGACTCTAAGAACCTCTCTTAGGTTGTACAGCATCCCGGCACATACTGGTTCTTAAGAAGCCAAATAAACAAGATGGTTTGTGTGCCAAGAAATTTTCCACAAGCTAGGAGAAGTGGCTCAGTGGTACTTAAATCTCTGTCAGTCGTGGTTCCCTGGGTCAGTTCCAGAAGACAGCAGAAAGGCACACACTTCTGTGGGTGGACAGTGGAGGGGACCAGGAGAACTAGGGAGGCAGCCAGCACAACCTCCTAACATGCTTGACACAGGAAATAGTGGGAAACTGCCTCTGAGGGAGGCAGGGGTTAGGTGAGAGGCAGAGGTTAGGACCCTCCTGCAGGATGACATGTGTGAGGCAGGCTTTGAAGCTGCATTCATTTGAACACGGCAGGAGTTTTGCCTTCCTATGGAAGAAAACATGGATGTCACTATGGTTCGGGCTTTCTGTGAGCGGGTGTGCAGAATACGATTTGTCCACACTCAGTGAGCTCTTGCTGAAGGGGGCAGTGAGAAGCCAGAGTGCTTCCAGAGAGGGCACAGGAATGGGCTACAGATTGGGGAGAAAGGGAGACAGGCTCTGAAACGGAGGAGGAAGGACTGCTTTACTCTTGCTTGCCTCTCTTCTCCCGGAAGCTCAGCTCAATCACGGGTGCCATCCTACAGGGCAGTGGCGGAAGCAGCCTACCCCTCCTCTTATCATAGACTCTGCTCCTCTATCTTGAGATAACTCCCCTTCTACTCTCCCATCTGGGCCCCTGTTTCTGTATGAGAATATTTAAATTAAAACAATTACCACAGTAAAAGCCATGTTGCCACTAATCCCCCTAAAAACACTTCCCTCTCTTTGAACACACTTTCCTGTCATTCTTGCCACTTTCTTAAGCAGCACTGGAGTCCTCTTTCCAATGTGTCTTCTCAAGGTGTGATCAAAAGTGCAGTGAACCCTGCTGCTAAGAGCCATGCAACAGGAAGGAAGTTTGGGGAAACATTATCACGTATGCTGTTGACCTTATTCCCTGGATCTGCACTGTGTAAATTCCAGCTCTTCTCCATGAGAGGAAAACATTTTGAATTGATTTGGGATATCTGGTCAGCCAGAACAGCGCAACTATAAAGACCCAGCTCCAGGCACAAAGCATCAGTGGATCGGTGATGTCCCCGTCCCACTCCTCACAGCCTCTAACCACTGCTCGCTTTGCTCCACGTGCTTCTTTCAAACAGCTCACTTTGCCATTTAAGTAAATGTATTTTATATGGCAATTGTGGTTCCCCCTACCCTAAGTGAGAAAAAGTTGGCAAAGTTCATAAACTTACTGGTTTGGTGTACCACTTACATTTTTCTAAAATACATGAAAAGAAATTCATCACAAGTCAATGCAATCTTTGCATTACAGAGGATATAAATTAAGGCCCTGCAATTGGATTATACTTGAAATTATTCTCCACCACTTAAAAATATAGAGACTTGGGGCTGGAGATTTAGCTCAGCAGCACAAGCGCCTTCCTTGCAAGTGTGTGGTCGTGAGTTCAATCCCCGGTACCAATAAAAAAGAAAAAGACAAAAAAAAATAAAAAAAAAAAAATAGAGACTTAGCTGAGAGTGGTGACACCCATCTATACTCCCAGGACTCTGGGAGGCTAAGGCAGGAGAAACACAGGTTCTATCCCAGCTTGCACAAATGAGGGACCTGATGAGAAATTGGTTGTATGTTCAAATTATAATTTTTATAGGTCGGGTTTAAATTATTGAAAAATGAAAATTGTTTAAAAAGGATTGAAAGCATAGTGGAATGCAAAGATACTGACTGGGTTCAGTTCCCAGAAACAAACCAACCAATTAACACAGGGATTGCACATATGCAAACACACACACACAAATACATATACACGGGTTCTAGTTTCTGGCTTCTCTTGAAAGGCAACAGCATCAAAAACTCTTGGCAAACACAGGGTTCACATTCACGGCAGCATTTAATTGAAGCTGAGAAGCAGGTGCTCTTTAACAGAGTTTGGGTTGACTCACTTGCCACAGTCCCTGCCATTCTCTAATCTTATGCCTGGCAAGCTTCCTTTATTACAGTACCTGTCTAGCCCCACATAACGTTTTAGAGTTTGTGATTCTCACCGTGTACCTAAAGTTATCTTGTGAACCACCTAATTATACGTATACTGTACATTGGTAAACCATGGGCCCCAAAACCTGACTAGCATTTTGATTGTGAGTTCTCTGCAGAGCAGAACTACTCCAACATTGCTTTAATTATATGTCACCACATCCGTGCTTTGGGAGGCTCCAAAAAGTCACGTTGCTTTTTCTGTCATAGAAATCTTTAGATGAGCCAGAAGTAGTGGATTCACAAAACACACTGTAGCACTTCATTATCCAGAAAAAGAACAAATGTTACTCCCCCCAGTCCAAATCCAAAACCATATAATCACTCTTGCATCCTTGGCAAGTTTGTCCAGACTGTGCAGATTTCTAAGTGCACGTGAGAATCCCAGTCGCGATGAGGAGCCTCGCTGGGATACAGACTGAGAAGCTGTGTGCTCAGTTCCTCTCTATCTCCTCGGCACTGTGCATGACCCCAGGGCTCTGGTAAAGGCTGGCCAAGAGAAGGAAAGCAGGGCAGCATTTATGAACCATCAACACATCTGACCACACACTGATTCTGTGCACTTCGGTCATCACAGAAGAGGTGACATCAGGATAAGAAGGACCTCAGAGGCATTCCAGCCTGATCGCCTCTTTCTGCCAGAAATGAGGGATGCTCTGTGTCCAGACAGGTTCTGCACTAATCATGGGAGGGCAATGAAAGAATGGGAGCTGCTTAATTCCCAGTCTGCTAGATTCTCTTTTCTTCGTGGAGTCTGTGAACAGTCATTTCCGTTCATCTCACAACTTCGTCCCTGACTCCATGGGTTTAAATGGCATTGAGACGATACCGTCCACAATAAAAAATTTTCTTCCAGAAGTTTATTTTTTGTGCTAAAGGTATAGTTCCATGGTAGAGTACTTGCCTAGTACGCCTAAAGCCCTGGGGTTCAATCACCAGCAATGCTAAATAAATGTTTAAATTTTAAAAATAAATTTTACTTTTAAAGCTCTCAAAGAGCCATTCACTGTAGCTTGAGTCTACCTAGAGAGGAGAGAAAGCCATTGTGGCTCCCACAGAGAGGCTGTGTGCCTGGTATCCTGCTGTCTCTCTCTCCATGGATGAGATTTGGGGGAGTTTTGGAGAAGGAGTGCCCTCATCCCATAGCATCTTAGCCTCCTGAACCTCCTCCTTGGAGACAGAACACCCACAAGAGGACGACCAGGGTCCTGGGCTGTCAGAGCAAGTCATTAAGGTCCTACTTCCGGTTAGTGGCAGAACAAGAGTCAAATCGCCCAATGTGTAGTGAAGCCCTGCTTGCCACATTCACTGGCTCAACCTCTGCCCAAATTGAAGGCTGGATTTTCTTCCTCAGAACCCCTGACATAAGCCAGTGGTAGGACAACAAGCCTTGAGCTGAAGGAACAACATTTGTGAGGGCTTACTCTGGACAGTTGACTACCCAGGACGCCACACAGCCGCACAGTGAAGGGAGTGATGGAACTCACTCTGGACTTACACGGTTCTCAGGCAACCAGGCTAGTGGTGTGGTCTTCTCTCTCTGGGCCTACAACTTCTGCCCACTGGGGAGAAGAGGCAAAAGGGAGGAAAACAGAGGCCCAGCAGCCCCATTAGCATCTCTCTTCTCCACAAACTCATGAGGAGTTTTGATCAAAGAGAAGCCAGATCTTCAGGGAAGATATACACAGAACATTCAGGACCCCACTCTGATCCCCAGGCCTCTATAAGCACCAGCCCCTCACCTGTTGATGGAACTGACGCTGGGCACTGTGTCATTGTCACAAACTCGCTCTGCCAGCAGCCGGTCCCTGATCTCCCAGGCAAACATGGTGGGGTTTTGGCGTTTATACTCAGCAATCTTTTCCACCACTTTGGGCGTGGCAACCTTTGGTTTGGATCCTCCGATTACCCCAGGTTTGATGCTTCCTGTCTCATAATACCTAGGACCCAAGGAGAAAAGAGGTTAGCAGGGAGGAACCAGCAAAATACATGAACATTTGAAATAGGACTAATATGAATTGAGTTGAGCTGCAAATGTAAATCACAAGTCAAATTTTCAAAACTTGGTACAGGGGCTGGGGATTTAGATCAGTGGCAAAAAGCGCTTGCCTGGCAAGTATGAAGCCATGAGTTTGATCCCCAGTACCAAAAAAAAAACTTGGTACAAAGGGCCAGGGATTTAACTCAGCAGCATAAGTATCTGCCTGGCAAGCACTAGGTCATGAGTTCAATCCCTTGTACCAAAAAAAAAAAAATAATAATAATAATAATAATAATCCTAAAACTTGGTACAAAAATGTAAATGCCTCACTAATAATTTTTGTATGTTGAAATTATAATTTTTATATTTCATGTTTAAATATGCAATCAAAATTAATTATATTTTTTTCACTTTTCTTCATGTACTACTCAAAAATTTTGAAATTTAATACATGACACATATTTCTTTTGCACATTACTAGTCGAATGCTACGCAGTGACAAAAACTGCCACATTCATCTACCATTCTACAGCTTATGAAGAATTTCAAATCAGTTTTCTCTTTGTTCCTCAACAGCTCTAATGCACATAAACTGTTTTGAATGAATGAAAGAGTAAATAAACAAATAAATAGCTACTTCTCTGTGACATAAAAGAAATTCACAGCAGCTAACGGGCTTCCTCAAGGTCACCCAAGAGCAAGTGGGCAAGCTAGCACTGAGGTATAACTCTCAAACTAAAATTTCCCCAAGGAAGTGATTTAGACCTTTGATTTGTCAGCTATCCTTTCTCTTAGCAGAATCCCCAAGATCCTGTGCAACTGTTCTCTAAAATGCAACTTATTTTTCCATAAAGAAAAACAATAACCCCGGTGTAAAATTAAAAGGAGTGTTAGATTCCAGAATTAATAAAAAATGTATTTTGAAAGTCCAAACCTAAGCAATCAGAAAAACCAACCAGGAGTCTCGGCAGCTCTTCCAGGGCCCTCCCTTGAGGTAAATGGCTGTTTCTAAGGACATTTCCATGCTATCAGCTTCTCCTCGTTAACACAAATAGGATGTCAGGGTTTTACAGTAAAACCGAGACCAGGGAGAAGAACGCCATGAAAGATCATTTCAGGGGGGAAAAATGACTTGATGTTTTTTCTAAATGTAAGCTGTCACTGAATGTGACTTAATATTTACAGAGGATTTTTGGACCTCTTCTTCCAAAAGAGATTATCTTAATGTTGAAATTTTTTAAAGTGAAACACAGTTTAGAAATAAATAGAAATGTTTTAACCTAACAAGAATAAGGGTATGAGAGGATTCTGGGATGGGTAGAAATGTTACTCAGGAACAATAACTGGTAACCTCTATAGATGCTGAAATTCTCAGCTTGAATTAGTCTGTTTAGAGCCAAGTTAGTGAATATTCTAGAAGAAAAGAAGTAAATTGAGGAGCAGTGAACTGGAAGTGAAAATTCTATTCTTCACTGAGAAGAGTAAATCATTACAAAATGTGGTCATAACAAAATTCAACCTATCCTCCCTCTTTCTGAAAAACTGTTGAAAACATTTTCCTGTAATTTTCTGGTAAATTAGGTTTTTCAAAATATCTCAGATTGGGGGGGGGGCAGAAATCTAGCAAAGATCTAAATGCAGGCACACAGTAATCTCTGCAGACTTCAGTTGTCCTGCCAATTTTACAACAGAAAGTCGGTGCTTACTATAACATGACACCTTTTATTTAGGTACAACCCTTTACAGTTTACAGCGCTCTCCTTCAGAGTATCTTGGTCCTTACACCAATCCTTTGAGGCCAGCAGAGCTTCACAGAAGAGGAAATAAAGATAGAAGACTGTTCCACCTTACTTCTGGAGGCTAAAGGCAACCCCCCAGCTTTTAAACTTGTCTTTGAATCCAGTGTTCTTCCCACCAGAGCAATCTACTACTTTGGTAACAAGATTTTAAATTACAGTAATGTTGATTCCTTGCAACTATAGAGAGCTTTACTGTTTTACAGATATTTTACATGTCATATTTAATTCACACACTGAATGAATAGTCAAGGAATGACGGCTAGGACAGGGACAATCTCAGGGCAGGACTTACAGACAGAGGCAGATATTCAAAACATGACCATCAAATGGGACTGTACCCTTTGTACAGCAGCACGAAGATGGCCGGTGGGTAACAGTGTGCAGGGTTCCACACCCATCCCACCTGAGCAGTGCCAGCCATGGCAGGCTGTGGTCTCGAAATGAAAGATCTCAGGCACCCTTTTGACTGACACATAGGCCAGACCTCTGGAAGGCAGCACCGACACTCCTGAAACCCCAACTCACAACTGTGTCAAGAGAGGATTCGGACTTAATAAGTCTCCTTTCATCTCAGCAAAACAGCCGTGCAGCCCTGTGGCTCACTGACAAAAGACAAACAGCAGCCACCAATGGTGCAGAGAGCACTGGGCTGGGGGCGAGTGGGTGCTGGTCAGTGGCTCTGACCTCACTGGCTGTGTGATCTTGGGCAATTCACTCACCCATTCTAGACTTCAGTTATGCCACCTATAGCCTAAGGGAAGATGTTTGCCCTGCTTGAATTGTAGGGCTGTTTTGAAGACCAAAACCCCAAATGGTTATGAAAAAGCTTTCGCAAAGCGTAAAATAAAGAACACAAGTTGAGGATTAAAATCCTCATTAAAATGTTTATTTTTACTGTGTAGCATACCACCCAGTTCCAAAACCCAGACTCCAATGAGAGAAGACAACAGCCAGGCTCAGGGTGGATTTAACGCAGCCTCACATGATACCAAGCTCTGCCTCTCCAGCCCCTCTGCAGCCTGGAGCTCTGAACCGAATGCTCACGCTCCTGGCAGACTGCCTATCTTCCGGAGGGCACAGGGGTCCTCCTTGCCTGCCCCAGGGACTTTGCTTGCCTTGCCACACAGTCTCTGAAAACCACAGCCACCACACACTGTACGCTATCTACAATCGGACCCATCAAATTCTTCCGTGACAAAAAAAAAAAGAAACAACAAAAAAAAAATCTCTCGCTGGAAGAGCCCCAATTCAGAAATTCCCAGTCACACTGTTTTAGGACTGAACTTGTTTCTTAAAAGGCAGTTCTAATTAGAGTGACATTTTGTCCAGTGTAGTTCTTAGTTATGAAAATAATGAGCTATGAAATTCCAATTTATTGTTGACAACTTAAACGGCCAGGCACCAGAGCGGCGCATAACTTCCGAGTGCCACTCTACCTAGTGACAAATCTATTCTGGACCGCGGGAGGCTGCCACCAGGGCTTGGAAAGGTCCGGGTCCCCCTAGTCTCCATGGGACAGCAGAACATGAGGACTCAGCGTTTGGATGTCCCCTCGGAGAAAGGCTCTGTATCTTGAAGATTTCAAACAGCGAGCAAAATGTCGGCTCAGCAAAGATGTCTCAGCAAAAACAAAGAAAGGCCTTCTTTCTTCCTCTCTCTCCCTCGTACAAAGAAGCTGCGCAAGATGTATCTGAGACTCACTCTGCTTTTGAAGGCTGATGCTGAGATAGCCTAAAATATTTCTTTTCTCTCTTCTTCTCTCATGCCCTTGCTTCTCTATTTCTGTTTTAAAACCATTTTCTTTCCTCTTTGTTTCTTGTTTCTTTACCTCACTGTTCGCTACTTTCTTCGGCCACTCTTGCTCTCACCCTCCTGTTTAAAGCCACCATTAACAAGAGCACTAACAAGAGCTGATTTCCTGCAATACTCTCTGAACTCTGGCGAGGGTTCATTTGCTAGCTGAGTGTTAACCAGGAGCAGACCCTCAGCCTCCATAGTTGAGGTGATCTGCATGGGCCAGAAAGAGGATGAAAGAAACAGAGGGATCAAGGACCCTAAAGAAGCTGCCAGACCCTTGGCCCCCAGACTCCTTCCTTTGGCCTTGAGCAAGACTCTGTAAAGTTATTCGACAGTGCTGTTCTATCTGTGAACATTTCTTGAATTCCAGCAAATGGAAGGAAAAGAGCGCACAGAAAGTCACAACGTCACTGACATACCTTAGACTATTTTTTATTCAGGCACCTGCTCTCAAACTGTAACACAAGCTACAGAACAAAGGTTGCTTTGTGGCCCAGGAAATGAAATAGGCAGCTAAGCCTGAATGTGCTCCTGCCTGCCAGGGCAGACCTAGAACAACCACACACCTGAAACCAAATCTATTGCTGTGTTCTGGGGCTATGGGGAGATACACATGGCCCAGGAATTCTTCAGGCTTCATTCCAACCCACAAACAGACTGAGACTGGCCAGATAAGCCTGGCTCAGTCACTCCAGCACGCTAGGTTTCCTCATCTTAAAACATGCTTCACTGGGTCATGCTGAGGCTATTGAGAAAATAAGCAGTAACACTAAAGGCTATGCAGCCCTCTGGGAGAATCGTCACTGTTAGTATTTTGCTTGCAGCAAATCGCTGGGTCAAATAGCAACTTTCAAATGTCAGATTTGAGAGTTAGCATTTGCCAGTTTCTTTTTTCCTTTCTAATTTAATATACACTTAGGATGCCTGTCACTACAAAGAAAACAAAGCATACAGAAGAAAATGCTGCAGCTCAACCTCATAAGGCTGATGATGACCCAAAACATGAAAATGATGACTGACTTTTGAAAGTAGAATATGCTTTTTGAAAATATTAAAATGAAACATTGAGAGCTGGGGAATTGGCTTAGTGGTTGAGTATGTGCTTACCATATGCAAGGCCCTGGTTTCAATACCCCCACCAAAAAAAAAAAGAAAAAAGAAAGAAAAGGAAAGGAAAAAATAGAAAAGAAAAAAGAAAAAGAAACATTGAGCTCTGAACTCTGGTTGTGTGATACCATCCAGCCCTGCCCAGGGTCCTGAGCTCACCTAAAACGTGTAAGGGAAATACCCTAGTGCCTCTTACTCGGGTGCTCTTTAGAGTAATTCACTAAGCTTGCGGAAACCAGTCCCTCCTCAGTCCCTGTATTCCACACGTTACTTGAGACAGGGGTTTCCCGGGGCTACTTTGAACTGGATGGCCTCCGAAAGACTTTCTAACCTCCAGATGCTGTGCACATAGGGCAAACTGCCACAGTGATCCTCACTATGACAGGGCACATTGGACAGTTGCTGATTCATCTTTTAAGTCTTTAATTGAAAGATCAAGGGAAGCCTGGAGTCCTGCCTTTACCTGCCAAGAATTTTGCTGACACAACCATGGCTGACCCGAAGCTGCCTGGAGATGTCGCAGGGCCTGACACCTTGATGAGCAAGTTCCACTATCCTTTGGCGGACTACATCCGGGAGTGGCCGTCCATTCACAAAAACCCCCCCAAGCTGATTCACTCCTCCATGTCCTGAAACAGATCAGAAACAAAAGGCAAGGGGAAGGGTAGTTAGAACCAGTCACATAGCAGAAACCCAAAGTCCCTCTGTTCACAAACGGCCAGCAGGCTGGGTGTCTCGTGCACCTGAAATCCAATTGTGCAGCCTACATGAGGGCACTAGATTGCTTTTTAAAATTAATCTAACCTTTGTCCACTGCAGCCAGTTACTTGAGCAGCTGATAACAAGTCTCACCATACTATGTTTCCTTTAATTACTAGCATTTCCTCATAATTTTTTAAACAATGAAATATGGGAAGACCCCAATCTGCACTAACTATAGATTATACAGAGGTACAACTTACTATGTGATGCTTAAGTCTAAGGAAGATATGCAGGGGAAAAATTATAGCATAAAACACGTCAAGTTTAAAGAAAAAAAAAAACCTAAGTCGTCTTTTTAGCAAATGTTTTTCAAAGTAAAAAAAAAAGACTATATTAATAAACCTTCATCTCAGGAAAAAAATACTGTAAAATCAATTCAATCTAATTTAAGGACTTTTTAAAAATTTAATAGTATCTGCAGAGTATCTACCGAGACAAAACCTAGCCACTGTCTTAATTAAAAAAAAAAAAATTAAGCCCTTTAAGAAGGTGAGGCTGACATGCAGACTTCACCACTACACCCTCTCAGAGCACACAAAAGAAATGGGTCATAGGATCTTCTACACCCAGGGCATTCCACCCTACTGCGTCGAGACTTGTTATAAAAGCGTTTCCCTAGAATTTTTGGAGTGCTTTGAAACTGACAAGCAGCTTTAAGCTGGTTGGAGGTAGATGGGTGTGGATAAAGAAACTGAAGAAAGCTTTTGAGTTCCAGATTTTATAACGGCTCTGGAATGGATTTTAAGTAAAGAGTCCATGTGTGCATTCCTATCTCTTATATCATAGTCCATCTAGAGGGCAACAAGAACCTACGTAAATTGAAAAGCCACACCAGTAAACACAAAGTGAGCCAATGTAGCAACATCATTGACCTTGTAGCTGTTAATCAGCCACTAACGAGGATTGGAGCCAAAACCAAGTCCAGGCAGAAAGTGATGCTACTGGCAGCTCAGAAGCCAAGGAGGAGGAAACCTCTGCCTTAACTGGGCCTGACTGGGCTGAGACTGGACTGCATAAAGGAAGGCACGGCACTTGAACTATAAAACCTATAAGAGTCACCTCACCTCAGTCATTTCCCCCGGTACTCATCTACTACTCATGTTCATGAACAACATCTAAAATAAAGGAGGCAAAAACATGTATAATGTAACTATATCCTTAAAACTGACCAAACAATCCACTGAAGTTTTCATGAATATTTTCCAAAATCTCCAAGCTGAAGCTTATTTAAAGCACACACGTGTACACACACACACACACACACACAAATTGTATAGATAACTGCAGTCCTTAGTTCCAGTTCTATGCTGAATTTTTCCTTGATTTTTAAAATCAGGTTTAATCAGTTATGATTGTTCTGAAACATTTCAGATATTTAAAAAGTAAAAAAGAAAAAAAGGAAGGAAAGATGAGGAAAAAAAGGAAGGAAGGAAAGAGAAGGTCCCATCCAACAGAGTTCTTCAAGAGTGTCAATGAGGGAATCCACAGCTGTAGTGTGAGAAAAGTCATTGATCCTGGGATTAGAAAGAAAGGAAGCTGAAACTCTGGGAGACAGGAGGTGGGACAAGGCAAGAAAAGAGAAAAAGAGAAATCTGTGGGAAGGTTTCAGACAGTGAGACCTACACACGACAGAAGCAAAGAGAGAAATCTTAGAAAGAAGCAAATTAGACAGGCAGAGGAGAGAAAGAGGAATGAAAATGCTAGAATAAACCAATAAAAGAAGAGAAAGGCTAGGAAGCAGGTATCTGTAAGACTGAGACTTCTGTAGAGCAGGACCTTTGTGATCCTGGGACCTCCAACTCTAGCTCTGTATGTTATTGGAGGACTCAAATCCCAGCTTTTACTTCCTGTGGACTCTAGCTATGTGAGGAGCCATTTACTGAAAAACTGCTATTTTTCCAGGAAAAAAAAAATACAGTTTCGTGAGAAAATGGCACAGAGATGAACACATAAATCAGGTAAAACAACAACAACAAACAAACAACAAAAAACCAGGAAACAGATATAAGGGAAACACAAACCAGCTTCCACAGGGCAGTCAGAACAGGGTCTGGAGGGAGCTGGAGGAAGAAGATTGAGCTGAAGATGCTCCTGGGGCTTTCGTGGCTGTGGTCCGGAAAGGGCTGCCCTCCACAGATGCTACTCAGGCCCTGATAAGACATGCTACACATCAAGTCCCTGCCATAAGCCAAAGACAGCAGCTGTCCATAACCTCTCGAGGGGAGGGTCTCTGCTGACTCAGCTGTGGATTGAACTACAGGACCCACAGGGTCAGTAAAATTCCTCTTAGACTCACCAGAGCAGGAGAATGAGACACACACAGACATGCAAATAGAAGCACAGGGAAAGGGCAGGAATGAAATGTCCCCAGTAGACTCTCCAATGGGTACATAGGTGCTGAACATATGAAAAGTGGGGTTGTGGACACAGACATGGTTGGATTTCACAGAGTGAGAGCCTTGCACAAGGGTACTCACCCTCACAGTCCACTGCCCTCTCTGGAGTCTGAGTCCTTTTCTCTCCACTTCCACAAATCCTCCAATAGCCCAATGTTTATGCCAGGGAGACCAAGAAGCAGCTCCAGCTTTACCCATGGGAACTTCTGTCAATCTTTAGTTGCTCTGATCTCAGTATCACACATATTCTATAAAATGAGTGTAACTGAAGGTCTGGGTGACACTCAGGTAGGATACTGGTTACAGAAGTCCTTCAGAACTGGTACAGATGCTTGGGAGAAGGAAACATCTTGGAGGACGCTGTTGTGTGATGTGAATGATGAACATGTATGGGGGAGGGGTAACTCTAAACTTACCAGCTTATTTACTGGCAGTGCCTGCCCATCCTCATAGAACTGATCCTGCTGGTGATGGGGGACTGACAGGGGCACGAAGATGAGGAGATGACTTTTATCCCAGTCATGTCCTAGGAGCTATTTGCCCCACCCCACTTTTATTGCCCACAAGCTGGGCACCAAAGCAGGCCTACATAGTGCAAGCAAACAGTTTTGGGTGCCAGAACCAAAGCTTCTTCTAAAGAAACCAAGAACTCGCACCAACTTTGAAAACTAGGCTGGCTGGGGACCAACCTCCACTGTGCTGCCAGAGAAACTGAAAATGGAAAGCTGGGACAGATTGAAGGCCAGGGCAAGGAGGCACAGTCATTAACCAGTTTGTTAACCAACACCTGGTAGAAGCTGCCAGGTCCCTGCAGATGCACAGGCAGGAGGCCATCAAGTGCTATCTTCCCAAGGGTTGAGGCACCATCTCTGCGCAACTCAGTGCTGGGCAGAAGGAAGCAACAAGGGCCTGTGAATTTCTGCCGTCAAGGCCAGTCCTTCCCATCTTGTCCCCTAGTCACTTCCTGACTGAGCCAGGGGCTTGCATCTCTCAGAGTATTACCCCAAATTCATTTGTTCTCTGGTTTACTCTGTAAGACTAGAGCTTCTCCAGAGCCAGGCTGAAGTCTGAGCAGGAAAAGACTTCGGAGGTCGCTGGGGTCACTGTGAACTAGAAACCATTTGCACACTGGCCCCACACCATGAAGATTCGTTTGGGCTGGGACCAGAGCAAGCGGCTTTCCGACCCAAACCACCCCATCACTTTGGAGGGTTACCTCCTCCCTCCGACTCCCTCTGACACAAAGAGAAACTGACTTGCCTGTAGCTAACCTGCTGCCTAAACAAGCCTTCCCCTGCTTGCCAGGCCCTTCGGCCCTCCGTGTAAGACACAGACAGTCTGCTCCGGAAGCTCGCATTCTTTCCAACCGGGTCTCTGCTGCCTTTGTTAAATAGGGGACCTTTGGCTAGGGAAGCCAGACTCCTGACTGTGTGAGGAGAGCAGAGCTTGGGAAGGGCTCCTAACCAGGGAGTGACTCCCCGACCTCTAGCCCGCAGAGATCCATGCCTGGCATCCGACTGAAGGCTGCCAAAGCCTGGCGCTTTCTCCAGCCGGCTCTCTAGCCAACAGAAGGGAAACGTGATTCGTTCTGCTTGGAATTTCCTTGAAATCTCCGAATCTAATCCAGCGTTAACTCACTGTGAGAGGAGGCTCAGGAGGCTGTGCTAATGGGTGAAATGGCAGGATCCCTCCAGTTAGGCAACCAGAGGGCCCTTGCCCTCGCTTGAAATGACCCTTCCTCTCCTCCTACACACTCAGCGGTTTTCAGAAGGCAGGGACGCCTGTGTGGTGACTATAATTGGCTTCTTTCTTACTTTCTCTCTCTCCCTCTCTCCCTCTCCCTCCCTCCCTCCACCTTTCCTCCCTCCCCACTCTGCCTCTCCTTTTCCCTCTCCTTTCTCGGGCAGGAGCCATCAAGAAGCAGGTGTCCTGTGAGAAGGACCCAGTGGGTTCCTTAAGGGTCTCCGTATGAACGGGTGGTCTCCTAAACCGAAGATTAGCTCAGGGACCTAGACTTCGTTGATTTTTCCAAACCCCTTCCTCAACTCCAGATTGCCTTTGGAGCCTCAGACTGCTTGTCCTGTTTCAGCTCTCCTCGTCTTCCTTCACACACTCAGGAACTGGTTAGGGACCCACTTTCCCTGCAAGCACTAGTCTTGATCAGCCCCACGCTAAAAAAAGTCGCCATCAGGATCCGAGTGTGGGGCGCTGTCTGAGAGCCACACTGACCTCTCACTATAACTTCTTGCTTTCCACCAGGCCAGCCCTAAACCCTCTAGAAGTTCTGAGGCAGGGCGCTGCAGATGCTCCGAGTTGTCGCTGCTGGAGCCCGGGAAAGCTGCAGCTGACTGCCTATGCTAGCATTGCTGGAGGCGGGATTCCCGGACCAGGTGTTCTAGCAACCACCGCCAAGCTCATTGTTCCACGGCCCCTGCGTAGGAGCCCTGGCACTTAGCAAAGTTGGCTGTGCAGCCACAGAGGTCCGGGGTTCTTCCGGCTTAGTACCTGCCCCGCGGTCCGGCACCCCCAACCCGGTCCCAGCCGCAGAGTGAGAGAAGCGATCTCGCCGCCTACTTACTATGCATGGATGCAAACGGGTCGTGCTTACAGTGTATTTCCATCGGGGCGCTCCAGACTGCAGGCCGGCCCACGCCGCCGCCTCCCGGCGCCAAGGGGCTGCCCAGGGCGGCTAGGGAGCCACGCCACCAGGCCGGGCACCCGGCGAGCTGAGCTCAAAAAGCACCGCTGGAATCTGAGGTCACTCTCAAAGTCTCCTTGCCAAAGACGGTGGAGAACTGCGCAGAGGCGGGAAACGACGCTGGCACAGTCTAGGAGCCGGCGCAACTCTGCCGGCTTCGCTCCCCGGCTGGCTCAAGCGGCGGCTCCCGGCCCAGCCGCGGATAGCTGCGGCCAAGGAGCCCGCGGCTTCGGGGACATAGCGGAGGGGCACCTCCGGGACGGCCAGGAGCCCCCGATCCCTCGCAGGAACAGTCTGGAGGAGGCCACCGCAAAGCGCGGTCCTTAGCTGCACCGAGGAGCGGCGAGGGCCGCGAGGTGCCAGACCAGTTCCGCGGCCTCGCTGCCCTGGATCCCTCCCGGGCTCTCCTTGTCCTCCGGGCCCTTTCTCTCCCCGCTTCTCCGAGTCCCTGGGGCTCCGGCTTGCCGCGCAGCCTCTCCGCAGCCGGTCCTCAGACGTCTGGGACGAAGTTGCACAGAACTTCTGCAGCCGCACAGGGGCCCCGGCGGTTTCCGAGAGGCTCCGCCGCTGGTGGCGCCGAGACCCCGGACTCCCCGGGCGCCTGCGAGCCTGCAAGCCTGGACCCGACGCCCTCAAAGTTCCGGCGGCCCCCGCTGCGCCCCCATGGCCGGGGCCAGGAGTGGGGACACCAGCGACGTCCTCCTCGCCTGGCCGGCTGTTTCCCGGCCAACTCTCCGAGCACGCTGCCCGCCCTCGGGGCCGCTCCGGCCGCTTCCAGCCGCCTCTTCCGGACAGCGCCGCGCCTGCCCCCGGGGACCGAGGGGACAGCCGGAGGGTCCCCGCCACCCAGGCCGCCGGGACTGTCGGTGCCGGGAGGAAGCCCTTGCCGGCTCTGCCTGTCCGCGGTAGCTCGTCTGCTGCCGGCGCTGGCCCCTCCGCCTGCTCGGCGCGCACAGTGCGCCACCGCGCCGCCCCGGAGCCGCTTTCAGGACCCGCTGCGTGTGGACAGCGCCGCCCGGGGCTCAGCCTCCCTCCGGGCGGGGGCGGGGCGGGGGCTCACATGCCAATCATCCTCAAGCGAGCCAATCAGAATGGCGGCTTCAGGTCCTGGCCCGAAACACCGCCCCATTGGCTAAACAACCGGCGGGCTCCGCCTGATTAGAGGATACCTGGGCAATGAGAGAGAATGGAGGGCGGGGCCCAGGCGGCGGCGCCACGTTCATTGACAAACGCGCGGGGCCAAGGCCCTGAGGATCTGGATGGGGTTAGGGGGAGGGGGCAGAGGGCGCACGCAGCGCCGGGAGAGTCTCCTTGCTGGTCTCACGCCGGCCCTACCTCTCCCTCAGGCGCCTGGGCAATAGCAGCACTGGGACACCCTGAAAGGTTGGGGACAGCCAAGGTGAGGGTGAGCGTGAAGGTTAGAGTAAGGAAATAGACTCTGAAAGGAAAAACAAAACAAAACCATCCGTGGACGTTAGAGGAAGACCTGGAAAGCAACAGAAATCCCGCTTTCTGTGTAAGTGACGGAATTGGCATATGCAGATACCCAACAGTTCTGACCTAATTTTCCCCATCCATCTGTAAAATGGGCTGTGTTAACTAGTTTGTGATGAAGGCTCCTTCTGGCAGAAACATTTCTTAATTTTATGAAGTATCTACTAAGCCACAGCCACTTCCTCTTGGTCCTCTCACCTCCCTCACTTTATCTTCAAGACTATCAGTTCTGCATTAACCAAAGGCAAAGACTAAGGAATAGGCTATACTCCTGTTCCTTTAAAATTAGTAACCGAAGCTTCCTGGGGAAAGAAGCTACTCTATGGCTTTGGACCAGGTTGCACAAACAGCAGTAAGCCCTCTTTCCATCCACTGAGCTAGCAGGAGTTTTGGGGGCTGCAGCTGAACATGTCTGTCTGCTGGCAGGAGCAGTTCTGCTTCCACCACAAGGCCTCTTGGAAATCAAAGAAGTCCGGTCTCCAATGCTAATGAGGATCTTAGAAACAGGTAGTCTAAATCTAAGGCAAAGGGTCCATAAAGTGGTGTCATGAGTGCTAGAATGCTGCAGCTTCCAGCAGTTAGGAAAATCTGACCTTCTTCTTCCCAGAGAAGGTAGTCTAGCAATACTCTCCTAACCAAGAAGTCTTTAACCATGAAGTCTATTTCTCATGGGTCTCTGAACTACAAAGTAAATGAACCTTGAAAAGGAACCACGTGTCACCCATTCTTCATCTAAAAGGCCATAGTTCTATGAGCCCTATGGTATGCAAGGGCTCAGCCTTAGCAACACTTTTTTTCCCAGCAGCTCATGTCAATTGCCCTAAGATACATCATTTTCAAAAAACAAAACAGAGCAAAACAAAAAAACTCATCAACTCAGTCTTTGGGGCCATGGATATAGCTCAGCTGCACAGCACCTGCCTGGCAAGCATGAGATCATGAGTTCAATTCCTGGTACAAAAACAAAACAAACTCATCAAAATTTGCCATTTTGGATTTATGTGAAACTTCTCTAATATTAAACATAAATCCACCAAAACAAGGCTTCTGAGATGCCTGCTAGAGATACGTATTTACAGGGAGAACAGGGCACAGGGTAATCCTGGGAAGACTCCCAGATCACCTTCTGGCTTCATTCTCTAATTTTTCCCTCCTCTGCCCCTCCTCCCCCACCCCGTACCTCTATAGTAGGTCTGCCTTGGGGCCCACATTCTGTAGCTGTCCTGGACCAGCTGCCCCTAACCGGTAGACAAGTTTCCGGTGCTGACACACTAGTCACTGACATAATCTCTGCCAGGGCACAGCTGCAGAAAACGGCCCAATGGGGGTCCCTAGGGACCCAGGAGTCTTCAATGTATTGGGGGGTGGGATGAAAGTATTCTCTCTCCTGTGTGGGAAGCCCCTCCAGTCTGGATCTTTGCCTCCACTCCCAACCCTGCCTTGGAGCAAGAAAATCAAACAGGAGAAGGACTGGGATAGACATGGGTTCCTGGGTTGGTTCATCTGGTGGTGCCCCATGGATCAGAAATCACTAGAATTCAGAGCCGCAGGCCAGACTTGAGGTCATAGCCCTGCATTCTCACTGGAGAGGAAGGAGTATGGAAATGTCCTGCAAAAGGAAGCAAGTGACATCTCCACCTCTGGTCTGACTTTTTGAGCTTCAGCCTACTACACACTCAGATCTGGCATTTTAGAGCTGCAAGGATTCTGAGCTTGTGCTTTCTTTACCGATGTGGAATCTGAGGCCAGGAGGGAATTATATGACTTGTCTAAGGTCACACACAAAGCAAGTCCAAGGCAGAAGAAAGGCTGTGGGCTGGAAATCTTTCTAAGTGCCTTTCTAGACCACTCCGGATGGCTGCTTGATATTGGCTGCCAGAACCTAGCTGGGAAATGCCTAAGAAACCCCCCCCCCTTTTTTTTCCCAGTGCCACATAGACAATCCCTGAGGCATTTTGGGGACAGATAGAACTGTAGATGTTATCCCTTATACCAACAGGAGCAGCATTTGTCCCCCTTTTCCCAGTGGGTGTTTGTCTCTGGAAAGAACTGTAATTCACAGCCTCACCAGTGTGGAATAAGCTGCTCACTCCCTCCCGACCTGACTGCTGTTGGGGCAGATGAAGTTCCCAGCTGGAACCTCTGGCCCCCTAAGCTGGATGCCCTCCAGGAACTTTTAACCTCCAAAGGTGCGACCAGAGCACACATGGAGGTCACCTACAAAGCCTTACAGGTCACCAAACAGCAGCCCAGAGAAGGTACACGACTAGCCAGAGATAACACAGCTATTTTTTTGCAAAATTGGATTTTCCTGCGTAGTACACCAAGAAGCCGCATTCTGAAATTGGATAAAAATCCTAGCAAGGAACGGGTATCGCCATCGCTGGTGCACTCAACTTGTGTAAGTCACCCGCTTCTTTCTCCCAGTAACAGGGCTTTGGGCCCAGCTCTATGCTAGGCCCTGGGGGCTGAAACTTTGAAAGAAAACTATCTAAAAAGAAACTCAAGAATCAAACTGTCTTGGAAAGTTTGCTATTGGAAGAACTCCTATTGACAACAATGTTTGAGAGCACCTTTCTGAGAGTGTCCATTTCTTTCAGTAGCCAGAGATCTCACTTTACTTGGTACACCCCCCTCCCACACACACACACCCCACACACACACCCCTCCCGGCTTTCCCATCTCACCCTCCAGCTCAGAGTTACAGGAGCATTAAAATACTGGGATTGCTGTCATGCTCTGCTCCAAGCCTGAGATCAACTGCAACACAAGATCAGCCAGTTTCTCTGCTTGTGGTTGGGGCAGGAGACCCTACAGGGCTCAGACAGGTTATTAAGTTTGGGAAAAATCAGAGATTACCTGTGCATTACTGTCCTAAGCTGATGGGTTATCTTTAACTTTCCCTCTAAAAAGCCTCAAAGAGGGTAAGTAACTGACCTGCAATTCCACACCAAGTCAGGGCACAGACACTCCTCTGTGGTTCCTTCACCTTGCTGAGGAGTTTGCCTTACTCAGCTCAGCTCTGTTTACAGGAGTCATTGAAGGAGGACAGAGAAGAAGAATTTAACCCATTTTTTTTTAAAAGTGTACCCTGCCTGTGTTGGAGTTTGTTATTGTTACCAATCTGCCCCCACCTGCCTCCCACTCCTGCACACCAGGGACACCAGGCAGTCCTTTTCCCTAAGGCTTTAGCTTCTTGTGCTACTAATGCAGAGAACCTCTGAGATTCCACTTCCCAAGGCTCTGTGAGATGAAGTTCTATTTGTGGGAATAGTGGTATTCCATTCTGGGCTCATTATGGAGCTCTGAGACTGAATACTACAGCCCAGCAAGAAAGTGTCCAACCTATCCACATCTCAGTTTGCCCAGTAGTAGTTTTTCTCCAACAGGCGTGAGTGGCAGGGAGCTATTTTCTTCCCCAGCAGGAATTAGAAGTCGAAGGGCAGAGAAATTTCCTTCCATACCATTTCCACAATAACCCCTGCTTTATGATCTCCCTAGTCTCTGCCTTCTCTCAAATGCTTCCTTTTTTTTTTTTTTTTTTCTCATATTACAAAGAAGAGTGGGGAGGGGAATATTTAAGTGCTGACTGCTGACCTTGCCTAATTTGGGGTTTAGAGCCACGCATACTTACTCTCTTACCATCATACATCAGAGGATACTGAGATTCGGGGAAGGAATGAAAAATGCTTTTTAGGGAAGAAAAAGATCTGGTGGCCTATGGAAGGTCTAGATGTTGGGGGAGGGGGAAAGGCCTCAGGGCAAATGGACACACACACCCCGTTAGCACCAGCCGGGATAGCTCAGCAGCTTTCTCCCTCTTCCCCAGCGGGGCTCCAGATCTGTGCTGACAGGGAGAAGTGCAGAATCACAGGAGCTGTCACCCTTTCCCAGAGAAAGTGGCCCTTACCCCAGCCCTTCTGGGAGGAAGGGGCGTGGCTCTCAGGACTTTAAACTCTAGTCCTGCTAAGTGCCCCCCAATCCCCAACCAGTTCAGGTCCTGGGGGAATGAAATGCTTTATTGATTAAACGATTATTCAGGCGATTGAACTAATCAAAGCCCATCGACCGCTACGAATTACATTCTTGGTAGACAGCTTGTTGGGAGAGGCAGCCGGCGGGCCACAGATGCCACAGCCAATGGGCTCCTTGACTCTGACACCTCCAGCTTGCTTGCAACAGGTACATAAATCTTAGCCCCAGGCACAGGGATTGGTGGTATCCCATCTACTGAAGGGCCCATCACCTGGGGAAAGGAAAGCTATTTGGGAATTGAAGACAAAGAGATTCTCAGGTTCATTTTTCTGTGCCCTCATTCCAGGAACACTCTTGTTGGAACACCCTGTCTTAGATTTCTGTTCTCAACATTTTGAAAACGCACCTGTACATAGGAAGTTATCCTGAGTTGGAACTCTTAAGTTTATCCCTCTCTGTTCTTTGATCTTTATTGGGGGCTAAAGTAAAGGTGGGCACTCACAGTGACCAGGAGATGCGAGGAGACGAAGAGGAGGAAGGGTTGCCAGGGCTG